TCTAGATTTCCCGCCGCACGCCTACAAAATTGCGGCGGCAGTGCAAGAAATAAACCGATCTATCGCGAGTAGGATTAGAGAAAACAAAGCAGTCGCGAGAATGCAACGTGATTATAAATTGTTTCAGAACATTGTGCTAAAGTTTTTACAGGTCACGTTTTTGGCGTACTAAACGTAAGCGGTTTCTCGTGTCAATACAACACTCCGCCTCTCAGTAGGACAGACTACGCATTCGAAAAATAGACTGAATTAGGTAGTTGTAAGGCATAATGTACAAGTCGGTAATGATCATGGAAACCGACACGACGGCAACCGCGCGTGTGGGGAGAGGAATACACGGGGTTATCAGATATAAACTGGGGCGGATAAATCAAAGAAGGCATTGTGGCAGGTTAAGAAGCCTTATCTGTTCGGGTGAGCGAAAGAGGGTCGGTGTAGTCCACTTTCAACCGACTGATTGTTGCCACTTCAGTGTGATCGCAACGGGCGATTTTGACATGCTTGTCAGTGTGCCACAGGATTCGAAATGGTCCGTTGTAGGGCCGTTGTAGTGGCTTTCGAACACTATCTACGCGGACAAATACAAAAGAACACGTTAGCAGGTTAGGGTCGATATATGACTTTTATGACGCTCGTGGATGTATGGACCGGAGATTAACCAGTATTTGGCGTAACCATTAACATGACCGGTAGCGTCCAGATCGGCTTAGTTTTGTGATGACCCGAAAAATTCGCGGGGAATTCGTAGGGAAGTCCCACATCAGGTCAACGAGCGCAGCACGGTTTTGAAAAGATTAGCGAATATTCTATTTTTGGATTCAATTTCTTAATCTCTTGCACAGTCTTTCCGTGTAGATCTGACAAAATTTCCTGTTTTTTGTCATAAATTTTCTTCGCTTCCAGTCGCCTTTCGTCGATTTATCATAAAGCAGAAATCAAATGTCATATTTTTCACCCAGCATAGCCTCAATCCTATTGACTTTTACCCGCTGAAGCTAAAAGACTTTCATCTAGGAGCAAAAATCCACCAATTCTTGTCAAACTATTTCCGTCCATAGAAGTGGATTTTATTTTCTCCCATTTGGAGCGTTCGGCTCAATAGGTCAGGAGAAATAAACTTTTTATTAGTCGAGGTCAAACTCCACTGCAAGGAAGAGTTTCTCCCCCCATTAACAAACGTAAAGCCACCCCGAATTCTACTCATATACCTTTTGCCTCAAAGCAGTTTCTCCGTTGGGCGTCGGCCAAATCTCCCCAGTATCTACAGCGGCCCCACATCCATCTAGCCCTTCGACTGATCACATTATCACAGAGTCAGTTGAAACTGGCCTCTTTATAACTCCCTCGAGAAGCAAGGACTGTTCAAATGCGGCTCTCAAATTTACGAGGGAGCTTGATCTTAACAGTAAAGATGAGCCAATCCTTGAAGCACAACCGACCCCAAGCACTCAGAATAGAGATTGAGTTAATAAACCTGCATCGAATCCATCCCGTTCCCGCACCTGGCCACTCAGGTCTGGCCTTGCGGGTAGGTCAAAAAGGCCAGATGATAGTTCAGGGAGATCATTATTTGTTCCTATCCAGAATTCTCAACTTAACGTAAACACTCCAGTTGTGAAACCCTCTTATTTACCAGCCTGTAAAATGCAAGTATATAGCATTGCTGACAACTTTTCCAATCCCATTGCTAGTCTGACACCCCAAATAATAAACCCCTTTCCTGATGTAAACTGTTTCTCGAAACCATTACGTCCGCTACCTAACATAAACTACCCCTCATATTA